AAAAATCTTAAACAATTTTTTAAACCAAATACAAAATACAATTTAATTTTTCAACCCGAAGGAAGAAAAATCAAAAACACTCATTGAGTGTGCAGAGTTACCACAAAACTGAACTTTTTCTGGATGTGGGTGTGCAGGTCTATAGATGTGTGTGGATATGAGTCTCACCCACACACTCTTCTTAGGGTAACTCAAGATGAAGAGTTCAACTCTACGTCAACTCAATTAATTGGCCAAAAATACATTGGATGCAGGCAAAGGTTTCACAATCAGCACGAGAGCTAACATGACAGAGCTATTTTTAAGTTATAGAGTACCCATGGTGCTAGATTTTACTAGGGCCCCATTTATAAAATTTCTTTTGTTTGTTTTATAGAAAATTTTCTCCAAAAATTCTCGAGTTCATAACCAAAAACAAAATTGATGAAAATGAGATGTGTAGATTTTCTATTTCATCAATAGAGAAATAAAAAAATCCGGTTCTGTTTTACATATACAATATACTCGGAAAAACAGTAAACAAGTTTTTAAAACCATATTTTTTCTAATATAAGGGTTCGGAAAAACTTATCTAATATTCTTACATCTCGTCATTAAATCAATCAAACTATGATGCATTCGAGAGTAGACATTTTGCGCTATCGAACAAATAATGAATCACAAAATTGATAAATTTAAATTATTCCTATCCCAAATAACTGAAGCAAGTCAGATCTTGGAATCTACCTGACCTTGAGATGGTTTGATCTCTATCAGACTACTTCAGGATAGTCCTCTCTCAATCATCGATCGAGATCAGCATGTTCTCGAATGATCAACATTCGAGAAATAATTTTAAAAAAAAAACTATGTTGAAAATGTATGCTTTGTATGTTTAATCACGTTGTTTATATATGGCTTAGTATACATTAAAAAACGATGAATGACTAATCACCATGTAAACACTAATAATATCGCTCTTTTACTCAAGATCTTGTGCGAAGATAATAGTAAACGATATCTTTTCTATGATCTTGACAAGATCTTAAGTACAGATTTATCCTATACAACAAAGATATTCACATACAAATTATCTATTCAAGATCTTATCAAGATCTTATTTATCGGTCTCAAAGTTTCAAGATCTTGCTTACAAGATGTTCAGCTAGGAAAGTATAATATTTTTCCAAATTGTATCAATGCAACTCAGGTCTACTTTTAATTTCATTAATGCTTAAATTAATAGTTAGTTAAATGAACTATATATAAATAGATGTTACTATTCTTTGCAGTTTATATTTAAAATTAAACATTGATGGCCATTCCAGCTGTGTCAAACTTGCAACTTGAATCCAATTATTAAGAAACTATCTCAACTGTTAAACTATTCAATTATTTATTTAAGGAATGGTTGAAGTTTTATGAGTCAAGTATCGACTTAATAAATTGAGAAATAGTTAAGCTTTATCTATTCCTGAAATCTATAATTGATTACTTAAACTTCAACTATTCCTTATATAAACAATTGAAAACTAACTTAGAGGTAAATTAAAATTGATATGAATAAAAAAAATATTTGTTTTATAGATTATATAGAAAACTAAAAAAGCTTTTCATCATTGTTGTTTTTCCATGCGTGATTTCTCTTGTAATTCACTATATCTGTAATTTGTTCTAAACTTAGCTGATAAATTCATTAAATTTTAAATGAAATGCATTATTCTGTCTCTTTTTTGTCCTTCATACAGGTGAGATGAAGAAAGAGAAAAAAAAACATGATCACATGCTCGGACAGAAATGGTAATAAAAACATGAAAACTATATACAAATGCATTCATAACGTGTTAAATTTTTGAAAAAGATATTTAATTGTTCAAAAACTTTTATGCATTATGAACATGTAAAAATGTGAAAGTTTTGCGTTCCTTCCAGGTACACCTGATACGAACGAAACATGAATAAACAACAGAATAATTTAATTCATTTTAATTTTCACTCAATTTGATTTAAGGAATTATTAACTATATAGAAATAATTTATATTTATTTTTAGATACAAATCATAAGAAATGCATTTAATGCTTAAATGTAAATATAATCGTTGCAATCTATAAAAATCGTTCTCAAATACTTTGTTTCTATCTATAAATCAGGACAAATTTCTTGCTTCGGTATAGTGATAGAAAAAAAACGATGCTCTATTTGTTTTTTAGTATATGATACTCTTCAATAATGATCATAAGAATATAATTTTAAAAGTCAACGATGGCAGCACAGAGAAAATGCAGAAAGAGAATCAGCAAGTTTTTATGTTCTCCAATGCTCAAAATAACTATTATAGCTGTTCACAAACAAATAAAATCGTCGAATCCATTTATTGATTTATTTGTTTGTAAAAAATAGAAAAATGTAACCTAACTTCGTGCTTTTTATCAGTTTCGAGAATGAAAAAACAAAGGTATATACACAAAACAAACAAGGCAACTGCCTCGATATGCATGTCTAAATGCATGGCGAACCCTTACAGAACAGAAAAATGGATAAAAGAAAAGAGAGGGAAAGAGCAAAACAAACAAAACAGAATACATGTGAATGACATTGCAGTTTCATGTCTGTCGAATCCTAAGCAAAAATACTACTTATTGGAGTTTAATTCTTATCAAAATACTTAAATAGTAATCAAATGGAAAATCACAACGGCTGGCACTTCTACTATCTTATGTGAGATTAAGATACCTTCTTCAATCTTTACAAACACTAATAGAAGAAATCTAATAATCTTTCCGTGTCGACTTAACTACCCCATGGAACACACCAGAACCAAGGCTAGAACGCAAAAAAAATTAAAATACGTACCGTATTTGTTTGTTGTAAAGTAAAATATTTGTTAATCAAGACGATAATAACACTTTACTATACCAATGCAGCTTCAATATTAAACATTGCAACACAACCAATGCTTTATATACATCTCGAAATGCGTTGAATCAGTGTTCACTGATCCGCATAAATCGAGAGTCACAAGATGCAATGGACAAAATGTACTTTTTTCTTGTCTACATACATGTTTCTCCAACCAATATTTTACACCAATCCAGTTTTTTTTACTCATATCTACTGTTCTATAGCTTCTACTCTACCTGGCTGTTTGAGAAGCTTGATCAAAGTGTATATACATTAAAAAAACAAAAAAAGAATCGCCAACGCAATCTATAGTTTCATTATTCGAACAGACGCAAAAATAAACATCCACATGATACAACTATTACACGATAATATTAGTCGTCGAAATCCCCTGTGGAATCTTTCAAATTCTAAATTCATTTTAATTTTAACAACGCAAAAAAAATCAAAAAACATACTATCCCATATTATCAGACTCATCATTATCGAAAAACAGTCCAATATGAATCATGAAGGTCGGCAAAGTTGAAATTAAAATTTCTTAAGTGAGTTCGAATGAAATAAATTTTTTTCATCCTTTATCTGACTACTCTAGACATTTTGCAGTTAAAATGAATCTTTAATGGATAACGATGCTCAATAACACATGGTTTAGGAGATCATAAACTCCACTGTTCACCAGAAGAAGTGAAAAAGTAATTAAAAATTCATCCAAACCGTGCCACAGAAATTAACAATAAGACATTTATTACACTTATTTAAATATTCATCTCACTTTACAATATGGTACACAATTAAAAAAACTTACTTCGACAAACATTTCCTTCATTATAACAAATACACAAAATACGCAAAAAAAACTCATATAAAACCTCGATGAGACATGAAGAACTCTTTCATCTAATGTAGTTACTAACAAGCTTACACTTCTAGTAGAAATATGGTTCAAATCATTTACAGAAGAAAACATGCAAAAATGATATTCTCTTATTTTATACCACAAACGTACATTAGAAGACGACCTGCTGTTTTAGAAATCCATGATAACAACCTTCCAATATTCATTGATTGTTCTAAATGCCATGGCATCGCGAACAATTGAATATTACCAATTGGAGTGTCCTTTGGACTCTTTTTAACAAAAAAAAATAAAAAAAAAAAATATTACTACGCATTAGCTGGTTTATGGTGACCTTTATTCAATACAATATGAATCATCAAAATTGAGAAAGTTGAAATAAAAATTTCTTAAGTAAGGTCGAATGAAATAAAACTTTTTCATGCTTTTTTTCACTGTTCTAGACATTCTGCAGTTAAAATGCATATTTAATGGATGACGATACTTAATAACACATGTAGCATATTAGAAATTGCATTCTTATTGAGAAGTGTGAAAAAATGAACCATTATTCCAAATATTACCGTGAAATTCGAGAATAAGTCATTTATTAAAATAACTTCAATATCAATTTCATTCCACCAGTTGATATACAATTTAAAAATCTTACTCCATCAAAGAATCTCCAAGAAGGAACAAGCGGACTTCTGTACTTTTTCGTACTATTTCGTACTTTTTCGTATTTTTTCATACTTTTTCGTACTTTTTCGTACCTTTTCATACTTCTTCGTACTTCGT